TGGGCTAAGGTTCCTGAGTTCAGGAAGGACTGTGCTTTCGTGTCCTTTGAGATATTAAGAAATAGCAGAGAAAGCATATTTATCATGCTTTATCATCTCAGGTAGGAGATTAGATGCAGAACAAAATACATTCTTATACCATTGCTCATTATTGTGAATACCCTTGAACCTTTTAAAATTCAGAGTTTAAGGGAATTCTCTTTCCCCGGGGCTCAAGGTAAATTTGCTTATTTTTAAAATATGTTACAAAGAAATTTCCTTATAGTAGTTATTTAGTTGGAAACAATGGTGATTGATAACACCATTGATGACACAGCATCATCATGAATGCAAACACTGCTTCATTGTCAAGGCAACACTAAGTCAAGAGTTTTCTTCTTTTTGCCTGGCAGTACTTGGTGTTGAATCTGGGAACACACAAAGACACACACACACACACACACACAAGGCAAACAACCTAACTACTTACCCCTGACCTATAGCCTCAGCCCTAAAAGCACTTCTCTCAAACCTCCTAACACAATGTGCTACCAGGCTTTGGTCTTCAAGCAATAAAATTACATTTATTCCCAAAAGCCCAAGCATTTTTAACCATTTAAATGCTTAGTGATTGTTTTTATTTCCTTCTGTTGCTGTGATAAAATACCCTGACAAAAAGCAACTCTGGAGAATGGGTGTAGTAGAGCTCACAGTTCCAAGTTATAGGCCACTATTTTGGAGGGAAGTAGAAGCAGAAACTTCATACTGCTAGGCACATCATATCTGTGGGCAAGGGCCAAGAGAAATAAATCCATGTGTGCTTTCTTGATTGCCTGCTTGTGCTCAGCTTAATTCCCCCACTCTTATACATTTCACTGCCCCCAGCCTAGGGAATGTTACTGACCACAGTGGGCTGTGTCTTCCTGTATAAGTTATCTTCATTAAGACGATCCCCACAGGTATGTCAAAGGCCAATCCAATGTTAATAACCCTACACTGAGACTCTCTCCTTCCAGATGATTCTAGGTTGTGTCAAGCTGACAATTAAAACTAAGGATCACTAGTAATTGTAATAGAAAGATTGTTTCCATATATGTTTTATATATACCTTTATGTCACAAACCACTTAGCTTACCAGTAACTGCATATTCCTTTTTAGTACAGTTAAGATGTGCAAAAGTACCAGCGATGTTTCACCAAAATAAATCCTTTTCTCCCTATAGAACTTTAATTAAAGGCTTATGTCCTCACATCTGCCATCTTAGGCCACTTAGCTCTAATTTTTTTTGTGTGTAATTTAGACCAGTGGCCATGTTACTTGGTGCTTGAAATGGTTTTATGTGTTTCAATGAAGGGTAGGGAAGACCTCCCCTAGAAAGATTACCCTGGGTGTGCTCTGCTTGCTGTCAGCTTCAAGTTGTTCCTTCTATGAGTAGAGACTATTTTCTGAATAGCAGTCTTAAAGAAAGACAGTCCCAGGCTCTTTTTAGCATCTCAAGACAAAAATAAAAATCATTAACAAAGTTAAGGGGATGACACACCTCCATGGATCATGGGAGAGAGATGGCCATTTTAATGCATGTGTGTTAATATAAATGATACAATTCTCTTCCCCCAAGTGTAACCTCTTCTGAAGGAAATCACATCTGCTAATAAAAAATCATCAAATACCGTCCCATTAAGATGGGGTTGTAGAGATGAAATAGCATAAAATACCACCATAATTACACAAATGGTTATCATCTTATTAAGTCCTGCAAAATGTAATAATTTCAGCATCCTTAATTGAATGATTCCATTCTAAATGCTGTTTTGATGCAAATAAGCAGCCTGTACATTTGCCTTCCTTTTGCTAAGTCTTTTAAGACATGAAATATCCATAGATATTGGCTCACTCATTTTCCATCCCAGAATCATGGTCTTTTGGGTATCTTCCCCCTCCCTTGGCCTTTCCTTCCCCGTCCCTCACACTTTCATGGCAAGTCATTCTTCCTAGCCCTTGAGTTGATTTTGGTATAAAAAAAAAATGCTGTTTACTTTAGAAGCCAGTAGGGTTAGAGTCATTCAGAGAGGAAGGAATTCCAAATGGGGAGTTCTCCAAATACAGAGTTCAATTGTGAAACCACATGTGTCTGTCGTAGTGGGTTGTAGTCCCACTTTTGCCTCTTATGACTTTTGCAAACTCATTTCCTTCTGCCCTGCTTATAGATCAGGTTAGTCATGATGAAGTCAGTGACAGTTAATGACCCCATACTGCAATTTGATATCTAAAGCACCTCTTGCGCCCCACAATGGACATGGGTTAAAGATACATCATTAGAAGATGAAGATGCTAACACTTGGGACCTGAAAGGTAGTTCAGTCAGTAGCTTGCTCAAAGACCTGAGTTCAATTCCCACAACCCACATAAAATACCAGATGTGGTAGCATGTACCTGTAATCCCAACACTGGGAAGGGAGAGATAGCTGGCTGGCCAGGCTAGCTTAGTCAATGAACTCCAGGCCAGTGAGAAACCCTGTTGTAAAAATAAAAAGGTGGCCAGCACTTGAACTCCTGAGATTGACCTCTGGCCTCAACATACTTACCTCACTTGTACTTCCACACATGAGTGTACATGCATCCACATGTATGTACACACATTCACACACTCACACACATTAACACTAACACTAACTCTAACACTAACAAACACTGATAACAAAGAAGACACTCTCTTTGAAACCAGAAACATTGTCCACAGTTGTTAGTCAGAAGCCTACCTTGCACTATCTTGGGCAAATTCCCATCTTGACCTAGAGTTTTCTCACCTCCCTGGAATGTTCCCACATCCCACCTGCTGCATGGTCCAGAGTGAAAATTAATTTAAACCAAAGCCTATGAAAATATAATTAGGAAAAGAATCTGATGCCAAAATAAAGTATGCCCCTGATTTCCATACACAAATAGTTTTAAATAATATATCCTCACTGTGTGTTGAAATCTGTTTGTGTAGAAAAGTAGAAGAATATGTCCTTCTCTGATACTGCCCTTCCCTCAGCTTGTACTTCAGCAAGACCCTTCATATCCATAACTGCTACCAATACTCCTTGGCAGATGCCCTTTATAAATCAATAAGCCTTGGGTGAATCTGGAAGCTACATGCAGCATAGTCATAAAGTGTAAATAATTGTTTTTATCTCATTAACTGTTGAAAACCAGGAGGTAAGAAGGAGAGGGCTAAATTTAGACGCCAGATCAGCATGCAGACAGATGACTTTCTACAGCATTTGATGTAAGATAACGTTTGTATCATATTCAGCCTGAGCCCCTGGGCAGATCCTCCAATAGCATTGCACCATTCCTGTTGTTGTGACAAGCTGTAACACAGGTTATAGGAGCTGCTGTAGGGATTGGCATTTCCTTGAGGACTTTGGCTTGTCTTGATATTGAGACCATGTCCACCCAGATGTAATGGCGTAGAAATCTGAGAACCATGATGATCCCTGTAAATGGATACCAGGCTATAGTCTGGCTTTTTGAATTCAAATCTCAGCTCCTCCATTTTGATAATGATGTGTCATCCCTGCCATTTCAGGAGTGTTGGGGGCAGCACTGTTCCCTAGCGTCAGGTCAAGCATGTCAGACCTGTGTGTAAAGCCATTGCACAGCTCCTAGCACAGACAGTGCAGGTGTTGGCTGGTTTTGTTTATAGGTGTGTTGTGGGGAGGAGGAGCCACATGCATCCATGTGTGTGCCTGCTATAAAGGCTAGAGGTCACCCTTAGTAGTCCCTCCTTAGGGACTTTGCATTGTTTTTTAGACAAGATCTTTAACTGGGTGGTTGGCCAGAGAGCCCCCAGAGATCTGCCTGTTTCATTTCCTCAGTGATGGAATTATAAGAATTTAAAACCCCATACCAGCACACATGGCCTTTTTACATGGGTGCCGAGGGATCAAACCCAATCCCTCATGCTTTTAAGTCAAGCACATTACTGAGTGATCCAGCTCCCCAAACCAGTCAGCTAATCAGTGTCCATGGTACTCCACTGTTAGAAAGCTGGTGTTTCAGTATTCCTCCCACTGTTATGACTTAAGACAAATATGCTGAGCTTAAGGAAGGTCCCAGACCTCAGAATCCCTATTGATAAAATACCAAGACTCGAGGGGACTCTCTCTAACTTTCCTTTTGAGGCCTTGCCAAGCTGAAGCTGGAGTATTCTAGCTTGAAGGGACAAAGAACTTTTTTTGGTTTTGTTTTTGTTTTTGAGACGGGGTCACCTATAGCTCAAGCAAGGCGCACATTCATTATGTTGCTGAGGATGACTTGAGCCTTTATGGTCATGCCTCTACCTTATGAGAGCTAGGATTTTTATGAATATGCCATCAGGCCTGGTCTATGTGAAGCTATGGGTTGAACCCAGGGCTTCATGTGTGCTAGACAAGCCTTCTATCAACTGATCGACATCCCCAGACAGGAGTTTAATATGACACTTGCAAATGTGTCTTGCCAGTCTAGTTTACTGAGCACACAACAGGCTCCTCATTCCATTATGGAAGGAATGAAGAAAAAAAAAGACACTTTCTTAGCGAGAGTTATATTCTAGGAAAGGGTCACATGACCTAAATACAATTCAAGTATAGTCCCTTATTCTTATTAAAATAACTTATAGCAAGAGTCTGTGTCTCAGGAAGAGTTATAGCTCCTTAGACTTTAATGTTTCCTAATACCCTGGTGTGAATGACTCCATTATAAAGTTTTAAAACCAAAGCAGTTAATCTTGAAATCACACATAGAACCAGGGACCCTGTGAGTCCAGCAGTTCAAAGCTGGGGTTGTAATTCTGGAAATGGGCTCTCTTAATTAAAACCTGTAATGAAGCCAGATAATAAAGGCAGAGTGGAATAAAGTATATACACACATTCCTATTCCCACGCAGGTGTGTGCATTCAGCACACCTATTACAGAACGAGCCATTATTATAAGATTGCAAAGGATTATTGTAGCGTAATGAATAAGAACTTCTAGTATCTTCTTGCTTCAGGGGGCAGAGGTCGATGAAGATGTACGAGAAGATGAAGAAGACAGAGTTACTGATGCTGTGCTCCAGAGCCACGTGATAGGTAAACATCCATGTGTTGCTTGATTGTCTCTCACTTTGATGCATTCTCTTGGTGCAGTTTTAGAGGTCTGGTCTACTGTGGCCCATGACTGCAATCGTTCTCAACCTGTGGGTCGCAACCACTTCAGGGTTAGAATGACCCTCTCACGGGGGTTACCTAAGTCCATCAGAAAACAACAGATATCTACATTATGATTCATAACAGTAGCGAAATTATAGTTGTAAGGTAGTAATGAAATAATTTTAAGGTTGGGGGTCACTACAACATGTGGAACTGTATTAAAGGACTGCAGCATTGGGAAGGTTGAGAACCACTGCTTTATGGGGTATGAGGTGGTACTTTTTCCTCAAAGAGGTTAGATGTTATATTAGTGACTTTTCCTGTTGCTGTGACATAATGCCTGATAAAAGCAACTTCAGGGAGGAAGGGTTTATTCTGGCTCACAGGTCAAAGGCGCAGTTCATCATGATGGGGAAGGCACAGCAGCAGGAGTATGAGGCAGCTGCTCATATGACGTCCATAGTCAGGAAGCAGAGAGATGAATGCTGGTATTCAGCTCGCTGTCTCCATTGTATCCAGTCTGGGACTCGACCATACCATGGTGCCACCCATTTTAAGGTAGATCCTGTCACCTTAGTTAACCTACTCTAGATAATCTCTTATACACATGCCCAGAGCCTAGTCTGATCCAGATGACATGCTCAGAAGCGTGTCTCTATGGTAATGCTAGATCTTGTCAAGGTGATAGTATAAACCTTCACAATGCTAATATAAAACAAGCAGATTGGGCCTGGGCCTGGGGCTAGCGTAATTGATAGAGTCCTTGCTTGGCATTGACAAGGTCTAGGGTTTGATGCCAAGTCCCACAAAGGAAAGCAAGCAAAAAACAGGGAGCCACACTGTTTCTGGGGTCTCGGAGCCACACTGTGGTGAAAACATGGGTGTTTGCAAAGGAAAACAGTGTGAGCTGAAGAGGAGTGTGTGCTTCTGTTATATAAATGGAGACTTTGGTAACTAATGTTTTTCCCCCCTAAGGAGAAAATCACTCCTTAGAATATCCCTTTAAAGAATGTCCTCAAGAAGCAACAAATGCAGGAGTCTATTGTTTAAAAACAGGGTGGTGGCTTTCTAAAATGGAACATGTAAATATATTGGACACTTCACATATAGAACTGTCTTCGTTTCTTGCCTGCTACTATGATAAAATATTCTGGTATTTTATCATAATCTCAACATAAGAGGGAAAAGGTTTATCTATAGAGCTCACAGTTTAGAGGTGCAGTCCATCATTGTGGGGGAGTCCCAGCAGCAGCATCTGAAAGCAGTTGGTCATGTTACATCCCAAGCATAATGAATGCGTATCAGTTACCCAGCTCCACTTCTCCATTTATACAGTGTAGGAATGCCCACAGAATGGTCCAACCCACAAATAGGATGGATCTGTCTACATCAAGTAATCAGTATACTCCTCGATGGGTATAACCAAAGACTGCTCTTGCCAGATGATATTGTCAAGTTGAAAATTAACACTAACCATTATAAGAAACAAATGAAATAAGTAAATTCAGTTGCCAAAACCTTCAACCCAATTTTCTTTTCATCATTTCTGTCGAAAGACCTAAATATAGATAGACCTGAATTTACTTCAACTTGTTTGATGTTTCTTTCTTAATAAGGAAGAATATATAATTATTCAGAAAACCTGATTTCACCGGCTAAGGTAAAGATGAATCTGCAAGGACACAACAGTTAGCTTCCTGTTCCCAACTCCCTGAAAGCTCTACAACTCTAAAACCCGCCCAGTTGCATTTCTTAAAGTTGTACATACTACCAAATATAAAAGAAAACATGTGCCAGTAAAGTGGGATTCAAGTGCCCTGTTTCAGTCTCAGTTAGGAGACCGTGATGGAGGAAATACCTGTGACTTTCCCTCTTTGTGAGAAGACTGAAGAAGTAATGGATTTTCACATCCCCAGACTACCTTGGGCACTTGTTGCAGTCACTGTTCTTCAGGAGACAGCAGTGCCCATGAACATGCATGTACTGATTAGTCACCTTGACACACAATGATGGAATGGATTGCCCTAAGAGTAGCAGAATGACCAATGTCTTAGCTTTTCTTTTTGCTTAGCTGAAATACCCCAACAAAAGCAGCCTAAGAGGCAAAGGGTGTATCCTGGCTCAGGGTTTGAGGATACAGTTCACCATGGCGGTGAAGTCACAGCAGCAAGGGAAGGAGGCAGCTGATCCCACTGTATCTACCATCCAATGTAGGAGAGCCACGACTGTATGCAAGCTACTAGCTCCTCGGCTTTTTTCTTCCGTTTGTGCAGTCCAGGATCTCATGCCCAAAAGATAGTCCCACCCACAACTTCGTTGAGTCTTCCTACATCAATTAACATACTCAAATAATCCTCCACAAGCATGCTCAGAAGCTTGGGCTCCCAGGTGATTCTAGATCCTGTCAAGTTAACAATTAACACTAACCATTGGAGCTGAATATTAAGTCCTAATATTCCCTTTGAGGGGATTGGTATCCAATAGCCTTTGTATCCATTGTTTTCACTGGGATGCCCTTAGCAGCCAACTCCCAGCACCCCTAGCTTTGAATGCCATATTTTTCCAGCATCCCCAGCCGTCTCAAGCAAACTATAATTTATTGTGTGTCTCAGAGTGTTGTTGTCCCCATTCAGCTTAATGAGACTGGCACACAATTATTATTCTTTTCATTTGTAATTAGGAATACAAAAGTCTTCACAAACAGCTGAATGATTATAGTCTGAATCAGATTATTATTCCAAGACATCCTTTTATTATGGTTGTCAGTGTGAAGGGATTTAATTGGTACCAGTTCAGCATAGTTAGCTAATGTGCAAGTTAAATACTGTTTAACAGCCTTCAAGCATGATAGTCTGTAAAACTTGGCTGAGTCTCCTTTTTCCCATAATGAAGTTCTTCAACCTGTTAAAAAAATAATCATAACAGGCAAAAGATTCAGTTCTATGACAGAGCACATGCTAAATGTGCTCAAGGCTCTCGGTTCAATCCCCATCGTTACAAAACTGAGATTAAGTGCAGAAAGACTGGGAGTGTAGTTCAGTTGGGAAGCGTAGTTACTCAGTAGACAGAAAACATTGTCTTCCATCTCTACCACTGAATAAACCAAGCATAGTGCTGTACTCAAGGTTCTTTTTTGCTATATAGTGAGTTCAAGGCCAATTTGGGTTACATGAGACCCAAGTCTCAAAATAAAATAACGGCGACAATTTAAAAAAAAAAAAAGCAAAAACAGGAAAAAGAAGAAGCAGTAACAGCACAAACACACATGCACACACATATGTGTGTGCACACAAATAATGTTATATGCCACCTCTCTTCTTGTATTTCTTGTTTTCTATAGTAGACGACTTTATTATTTGAGATAAGATTGGGGTTCATTGTTACTACCTTCTTGAATTTTATGTCCCTGAGCCATCAACAATTCCATGGACGTCTCCTGCCTTCAAACCCCTTGCCTTGGGTTGCAAACTGAGTCCTGCCACTCTAGGGATCCAATTTCTGTTGAAACAGAAAGTACAGGGATGAGTAGATGCTTCCCAGGTTCCCTGTAGGCTCTACCTAATACAGTGTCATGGGGAAATGAATCATACAGCCAACCATCGCTGCAAAGGATGCTGAGAAAGTGCACACATTCCTTTTTAATCTCTGTCTTATGAAGTAGCAGAGGGAAAAGATTGATACTAACTCTGAGCTAGCCACCAGTAGGAACATTTTAAAGGTTCTCCCTGACTGAGACTAGATGAGAGTCACTAATGTTTATTCCTTAATCTTTATCCCATCACAGGGACTGAGAATATATATGTTCCCTGCTGATTATCCTACGCATAGTATTATCATATATTTTACAACACTTTATAGCCATGATATAATATTTTCAGTAATAGTACTTGAACAGTTTGTATCTCTTCCAAACAAATATTAACAAACACCTTTTCAACAGAGAAAAACAGCCAAGGAATTTTGACCTGAAGGTTGGTGTTTCTGTCTGTGACCTCAGGGTGATTGTGTTGGTTTAGTCAAAATGCCATGAGTTGAATAGGAAACAAATGCTGTCCCCTAAACTGGATCTAAATTGAAATGCAAGATCTATAAATTAAGGGACTGAAGCAATAGCCCAGTGCTTAAGAGAACATGCTGTTCTCACAGAGGACCTGAGTTCAACTCCCAGCACCCACACTGAACAATGCAGATCCACTTGTAATTCCCTGCAGGGAATCTGACTTCTCCTTGCTTTTCTGAGTACTTCTCATCCACAAGCATACACTCACATAGACATGCATATATATGTAGAAGTAAAAATAAAATATCTATGTAAAATTTTGCGAATTAAGTAAAATAAAGGCATTTGATATTTTTTCTTTAAAATAATCCTAATAAATGTCAGACTTTGTGTTAATAAGCAACAAAAAAAAAGCTAGCCTAATTTAATAGAAGCTCTAGCATAAATGGTTTCTTTCCTACCTTTTTAACTATGGCAGACTGATCCTATACATTAGCCTAATCGTCTGCTAATGTTAAACACTCTCAAAGAATTGGAATGCTAGTGTCTTATGTTGAAATTACCAACCAGTGAGATAGAAAGTTTAATTGATAAAGTTCTTGCTTTGCAAACATGAGGACCTGGGTTTACTCCCAGAACCCATGTTGAAAACAACTGGATGTAGTACTGCACGCTTCTATCTCCTCACAAGGAAAGTAGAGTCGGGGCATGTAGATCTCTGGGCTCACTGAACAGCCAGCATGGCATACTTGGTGCCTTCCAGTCCAATGGAAAGCTCTGTCTTTAAAAACAAGACATATGTCACCTAGGAAATAAGAACAAAAGTTGAACTCTTTACACACATATCCACAGATGAGCACCCACACTCATATTCTGACATGAACACATACAGGCACACAAGAATACACAAAGAAAGAAAATAGCAGCCAGTGATGAATAT